TACCCTCTCTGGGGTCACCTAGTACCTAAGGGACATTTATCAGAGCAGCACAGTCTGCCAGAACAGGAAATGTCCTCTGGGTTCCTCCGCCTCCACTCCTAGTCTGACACTCCAGACACCACCCCAACTTAGCTGCAGGAGTCAAGGAAAGCCAGGGACCATTCTCCTTAAATGGGCAGCACCCTCCTCCCTGTCCCAAGGATGTGGCTTCTTTTAAGTGCTTCTGGGATGAAGGCAGAAGAAGGGTGAGACCCTAATTAGGGGGCACCCTCTCACTGTGCGGCTTTGGGCTGTGCTCAAGCCCTCTGGCTGCTGTGTACCTCCTCTACTCACTGCACCCTCTCTGGGCCTCTCCTCCTTGAGATGACCCCAGACTGTGAGCTCTAAAAGGGCAGACTTGTGTCAAAGACCCTCTTTTGTGTCCACCCCCCCCCCCCACTGCATTTGCAGTCCCCAGCCTCCCACAGCCAGGGCCCCCCATCAGGCCCTGTGTGAGTCAGCTCCAGCGAACAGGGCACAGACTTCCTCCCTCCCAGGCCTCCCTGGGGACACACACCCTGGGCAGCAGCCGGCTCCCCCTCTCTGCCCCCCCAGCTGGGGGGGCCACATCCGGGTGGGCCCCCAGGGGCTCCAGGCCTGGCTCACAAGGAAGCCCGCAGCCCGGCCCCCCTCGCCGACCCCTGACAGGGTGGCGTGGGAGGAAAAATCTTCCATCCATCTGCTCAGCTGCCGGGTTTCCGGCTGGGGCAGGGCCAGAGACGCCAGGAGGACCTGTTCCCCTGGGGAAGTGTCCTTTGCCCCTGCTGGGAGAAAGGATGCTGGGCTGGGCAATTCAACTGTGGCCAGTGGAACCTCAGAGACCTGACAGAGGAACTGGTCATCTGGGTGGCAGGACCTAATTAAGTGGGTGTCCAGCTGTGGCCATGGTCTACATGCCAGGACTTTGGACCTGCCTAGTCCCCCAAGGGACCTCAAACCCCCGGAAGCTGGGGAGCAGGGGTATAGGGCTCCTGGGTTTAATAAGGCCTGACTCAGAAAGTGACCCCAGCTGAGTCACTTCCCCTGGACAGCATTCCCGCCTCAGTTTCCTCAAGGAAAGCAGGCAGCTGGGAACAGGGGTCTGTTTGAGAACACGCCGCACACACTATACCTCTGGACTCTCTGAGGCAGGCTCTCTTGTCTGCCAGATGGAAGCAGCTTCCTGCCCCACCCATTCGAAGATGATGAACACCCTGGGGCCCCTGGGGACCGTTTTCCTAGGAAACCTGGCAATTAAGTGCCAGCCCCTCTTGGGCAATAATAGCCATAGCTTGCACTTATCGAGCACTGACTGCATGCCAGGCACTTTACCTGCCTCTTCTCAAAACAACCCTATCAGGTAGTTGTTAATACCCCCATTTCCTAGATGAAAAGATATGTAGTACAGAGAGGCTAAGGGACAAGGCCAAGGTCACATAGCCATAGAAATTATAGCCAACACAGTTCAAGTCCCTACCCTGTTCCAGGCTCAAACTTTGCATCACCACTCTGGAAGCTAGAACTCTTGGCTTCTGTTGGGCAGGCAAGGCCCAGAGAAGTCAGGTAGCTTGCCTAAGACTTCACACCTGGAAGCTACAGAACCTGGATTTGGCTCCAGAGCCAATGCTGCCACTAGGAAGAATGGGAATTTAAGAATAATAATATCTTCTGCTATTAGTGAAGCCCATGCCCACCGCTGAGTGCTTCATGTACCTCTTCTCATCAAGCTCCACAGATGCTGATTTAATTGCCCCAGAAAAGTTAAGTCACCAACCCACCAATTCATAGCAATGGGAGACCTTCAAGAAAACTGGTTTAGGCTCGGCGCCTGTGGCTCAAGCAGCTAAGGTGCCAGCCATGTACACCTGAGCTGGCGGGTTCGAATCCAGCCCGGGCCCGCCAAACAACGACGGCTGCAACCGGAAAAAAAAAAATAGCCAGGCGTTGTGGCGGGAGCCTGTGGTCCCAGCTACTTGGGAGGCGGAAGCAGGAGACTCGCTTGAGTCCAGGAGTTGGAGGTTGCTGTGAGCTGTGATGTCACGGCACTCTACCCAGGGTAACAGCTTGAGGCTCCATCTCAAAATAAATAAATAAATAAATAAAAATAAAAAAAAGAAAACTGGTTTATATATCCCGTATAAGGGATATATCTCCCGTATGAGGGATATATAAACCAAGCCCTAAAGGCCTTGTCAGCTAAGGGAGTGGCATTGGCCCAGCTCTTGGCCCTGCCAAGACCCACTTCATTGAGCCCTCATGACTGGGAGGGCACCCTATGTCCCCTCCCCAGGAACAGGTGGCCCTGGGATTGGCAGCTGGGAGGTCCCACCAAGTGCCTCCAGCTCTGCTCTCCTCTGCTTCTACCCTTGAGGAAGCGCCATGCAGCATATGGAGAATGTCACAGCCTGATCCAGAAAGCCAAGGGCCCCACAGGCTGACTGGCAGCTGGGCAACCCAGCTGCTGCCACATTTGGAGTTCTGATTTGTATTAGAAAGTCCTGTTTTTAAGAGAAGGTGGTTTGAGGACTGGGGGAAGGAGGATAAGGAAGGAAAACAAGCAGAGTTAATACCCATAGCAAAGGGCGGCGCCTGTGGCTCAGTGAGTAGGGCGCCAGCCCCATGTACCGAGGGTGGTGGGTTCAGGCCCGGCCCCAGCCAAACTGCAACAAAAAATAGCTGGGCATTGTGGCGAGTGCCTGTAGTCCCAGCTACTCAGGAGGCTACTTTCACTTTCACCTCCCTTAGGTGAAGGAGAATCACCTAAGCCCAGGAGCTGGAGGTTGCTGTGAGCTGTGACTCCACGGCACTCTACTGAGGGTGACAAAGTAAGACTGTCTCTTAAAAAAAAAAAAAACACCCATAGCAAAAAGGATAATCACCCCATCGTTATGACTTGTCTCCTCCTGACCCAGCCATTCTGAACACTAGGAATTCACTCATTTACGTTCCAGTAGCCCTAAGAAGTAGGTACTATTATCACACCTATTTGACAGATGAGCAAACTGAGGCAGAGGCAGTTACACAAGGCTTTATAGCCAGGAAGTGCCATCACCTCATCCTACCCAGGTCTTCAGACTCCTTCCAAAGATTCTGGAAACTCCAGTACTGCAGGTGCAGGAGGTACTCAAGGGAGACTGATGAATGAACGTTCCTTAGCCACTAACAATAACACTAACGATGCCAATGACAAAACCACCACCACCTGTAATTGAACCTTTTCTCTGTGCCAGGTAGCAAGTGCTTTTCACACACTGGGTCATTAAATCTCCTCTGCAAACCTGTATAACTCCATTTTACTGAGGTTCACGAGGGACATCTGTCCCATGCGCTTAGCTGGACAGAAGCAGCTCCAGGGCCTCAGCCTCCAGAGCCCTCTTCTGCTACTGCTAAGTCCCTTAGACCCCAGCTGCTGATGCTTCAGGCCAGCCCCTTCCCAGCCGGCTGCTTGTGTGGCCCTTGGGGACTCAAAGAAGTTCTAGGAATGTTCACCCTTTGGCTCAGAAGGATTTTCCCTCCCAGAGGGGGGTTGTGGGAAAAAGCTCCAGAAAACATACTAAAAACCCTTCTAGCTTCCCCCAGTAGGCCCTGGCCTCTCATCCCCTAAGCCTGGCCTGCCCAGGTAGCCTCTGCCTGCTTGCCTTCTATTAGGTCCCCCAAAGTCTCCAGGGCTGTTTCTGCTCTGGCAGCCAGGTCAGTAATGGGAAATCCAGATACAAGTTATGCCTCCATCCCTGGAGACCCATGTGCCCCACTGCCCTGGCAGGGCCTTAAGGCCAGACTGTATGTAAATATGGAGACAGGATGGCCTGGCAGCTAGTGGGTGTTAGGCAATGATCATCACCCAGGTGATGGAGTGTGGGTCAGATCTCAGCCCCTCCTGACACCAAAGCTAGACCTTGGCTCTACAGACGTCGCCTTACCAGGCCCCCTACTCTGAAGCCTCCACCCGCCACCGCCACCGGATTTCACTTCCTCCCACTCAGCTAGCCTGGGGGGGTGCCCCTCCCTGGAGGTCTCCAGCTGCAGGCAGTGACCTCCTCACCTACATCATCGTGGCCAGGAATGGGGAAGAGAAACAGGAGAATGAGGAAACTAAAAAAAAAAAAAGAAGCAGGACAAACAGGCAGGCCCCCCTCCCCAGTTCCTCAAATGCACCACACACACACACACACACACACACACAAAGAGAAAAAGCTCTCCTGGTCAGAGGGAGGGAAGAGAGGGGATTTCTGCACCAGGCATTAGAAGCCTCTGAAATACCCTCCCAACTGTGCTGACCTATAGGACCAACATCCCTTCCAGACATTTTCTTTTTTTGGGGGGGGAACCCCAAGAACCCTGGGCTAAACAGTGGTGTGAGAATATCATTACAAAAATACCCAGGCTCTAGGACCCCTAAGTGAACACCAAATTCAGTGGCATGTGGGTGCACGGCCCAACCCACCTTGCAATGCAATGAGTGGGGAGAGGGACTCCCTGGATCAGGCGCTACCCTGTGAACCACATGGCCTGGAATGGGCGGGTGGGGACGGACCGGCACAGGCTCCCCCTTCGCTCCCCCCTTGCAAGGGTTCACTCATCTCACAACCTCAGTTTGACTACTTTCACTTTCAAGGTACCAAAGGATGACCCCTGACTCCTCACCACGCACAAGTTGAAGGGACTGCTGCCCGTGACTGGCCAGGCTGCTGTAGCGGGGACAGGAGTGATGATGTTAGCTATGCCCTCTCAGCCTCTCATTGCCTCAGTTACCCCCGTTATATTCCCAACACGTGTGTGGGTGGGGATGTTGGATGGTGGCTGTCGCAGGCGCTGGGGAATGGTCACCTGGAACACCTCCATCAGAGTTAGCTGCAGGACAACATTTTGGGCTGCGGTGGGGGTGCGCAGAGACTAGACAGAACTGAACACGGGGCCTCCTCTTCCCCCATTAAAGCCCTCCCAGTCCCAGAGGAGGGGAGCGCTGGCACAGGCGGGCTTACCTGAGAGAGAGGGGGTCCGGGCCCGGCCGGCCCATGGCGTCGCGCGCCCCCGGCCCCCCGAAATCCCGAGGGGGCGGGCGCGCCCCCGCCCCGGGCGCGTCCTCTCCCGCGCGGCGGCTCCTCGCTCGCGGTTCGCTAGCTCGAGCGGGGCTCAGGCAGGAAACCCAGGCTCGGAAAATGGCCAGCGCCTCATCATTTCCGCCGCCAGCGCTTGACAGTTACGGGAGGATGCGCCCCCGGGCCGACACCGGGGAAACTTTGCTGCCGCCGCCGTCGCCACCGCGGGCCGCGACAGTCCGGGCGGGCGGCCGGGCGGAGGGGGTGGCCCGAGCCCATACCGCCCCGCGCCGTTATGTAAAGAGGAACCGACTACTGTGAGAGCGCTGCCGGGCGGAGGAGGGCGGCCGGGGCTGGGGCGGAGCCGGGGCGGGGCCATGGGGAACCACGCCCCCGTTCGCCCGCGAGTCGGAGATTCAGCGAGAGGAGGAAGGTCCTGGAGGTGTGGCTTGACCTGGCCCCGCCCATCACCGTTGCTCCTCAGTTGTTTGCGGGTCCGGGGTCTCCAGGCTTGAGTCCGGCGAGAAGCGGTGCCTTATCAAGTCAGGCCTACCACTCGCCCCCAGATTTCGCTTCAAGCAGCCTAAAGAAGAGAAAGCAGGGGACTGAAGGCGAGTCAACTTTAGTCCCACCCACCCAAAGCCCGCAGGCTACAGGGTGCCTCGGCGCTTCGGGGGCGGGGCCCTACGAAGAGGCGGGGCCTACCAGCCAAGCCTAGACCAGCATTCTCTCCTTGCCTACCCCCTGCGGGGCCTTATCTGCTCCCGCCGTGCGGGTCAGCGCAATAGTGACCTTGACTTTCATCATCGTCCAGGGAGGGAGCCCAACCCCGCCCGGCCCTGACTATCCTCGACTCTGCTGAGCCCACTCGCCATGGCTCCTATCCCCGGTTTGGATTGTGCCACCATTCTTAGCTCTGCTTTTGGCACAGCCCAGGACCATATTGACCAGCTTCTATCTGGCCACTTGTTCATTTTTCTCCAGGAAAGCTCTCTTGGACCGCTGGCTCCTGTATCTTTTGCGTCCACCACTCCATTCGCCCTCGGATATCTTATCTTTTACTTTGGGCCTGATGGGGGGGTGATATTGACGGTGGGGTCCCCGGTAGTCTGGAGTGGGGCACATACTCAGCTGGCCTTTCCTCCAACACAAGGGAGGGAGGAGAGACAGGAATATCTGCCCTTCTCTCTCCTCAGGAAACAAGTCGCCCACGCCCCAAGCTTAGAGGGGCCACTCTTTCCCCTACAGCTTGTTGCTTTATTCCACTCTTCCCCCTCCATACCTCCATTTCCTCATCTATAAAATAAAAGAATAAGTATGCCCACCCCATCAGGTTGCTATGAGGATCAAATGAGGATCAAAGTAGTGTTACCAGAGTGTGTGTTAAACAAACAGGCCTTGAGTCCTAGGCTAGGAACTATAGGAAGGGGTTCCCCAGAAGATGGGGATTTCCACCTTTGGGGGAGATGGGGGAAGGGAGCTGGTCTGCTGTAGCATCTCTGTAGTCCAATGCCATTGAAAAAACAAAAAATGCTTTTTTTTTTTTTTTTTTTTGAGACAGCGTCACAGCTCACAGCAACCTCCAACTCCTGGGCTTAGGCAATTCTCTTGCCTCAGCCTCCAGGGTAGCTGGGACTACAGGCACCCACCAGGCTATTTTTTTCTGTTGTTTCAGTTTTGCCAGGGCTGGGTTCAAACCGACCACTCTTGGTATATGGGGCCGGCACCCTACCCACTGAGCCACAAGCACCACTCCAAAAATGTGCTCGCTACAAATAGATATCAACACTCTCGCATGCTTCTCCATGCTAGAGACACAGCAGTGAACCAAACAGACAAACATCCCCACCCTCATGGAGCTGACATTCTTGTGAGGGGACAGGGAGCACAAATACATACATGGATTAACTATGGAAATGACAAAATAGTTATGAGATGGAGAGTGGAAAGGGTGCCCAGGAAGGACACTT